GTGTCCCTCTCCCTAAAAATATTTCATAATACCCTATGGCCATCTTCCCATATTTTGTTAGCCATTGTAGAATTTCTGCCCTTCTTCTGTAATCATTCAGTGGTTATTTGAAACTGGAAAAGGAAACACAATGATTTATTTTAGAATACTTAGACCAAAACTCAAGTTCTATATCCACATCCAGGAAATAGGTATGTGAAAGGAAATTAAATTTGGGGACCCCAGATTCATTTAGCCAAAGGAAAAACTCAAGCTGGATACTGGGTCATGCATACCCGTTCCCTGCTTTTGGTTTCTAGATAAGATGGCTACAGGATGAAAAGCTATATGCCTCCCCAATATTTTGCTTACTAAGAAGTTCCTGGTACGCTGATAAAATGCAAATTGATGGCTTATCTTTTTTTTTTTTTTTTTTTTTTGAGAGAGGCTTGCTTAGTCACCAGGTGCTAGGCTGGAGTGCAGTGGCATGATCTCGGCTCACTGCAACCTCCGCCTCCTGGGTTCAAGCAATTCTCCTGCCTCAGCCTCCTGAGTAGCTGGGATTACAGGCGCATGCCACCACAGCCAGCTAATTTTTGTATTTTTAGTGGAAACGGGGTTTCACCATTTTGCCCAGGTTGGTCTAGGTCTCTTGACCTCCTGATTCACCCACCTCAGCCTCCCAAGGTGCTGGGATTACAGGTGTGAGCCACTGCACCCGGCAGATGGCTAATCTTTACAGGAGCAATCACCCTGGCCCACCAGACACAAATGCAAGTCTGATTGGTCCCCTATCCCATTTTGTTTGTGTTATCTTATGTAAAATGCAGATTTTCTACACTCTTTGTGCCCCTTTTGTTTATGTAAAACTGTGTGCTGCTCGATATCCCACCCTTTCCCCTTTAAATTTGGAGCTGTCAGCATCATCTTCAGAGAAAGGCTGTCTTTCCGGCACATTTTTTGTTTGTTTGTTTTTTGTTTTTTTGAGATAGAGTTTCACTCCATCGCCAACTGACAGGCTGGAGTTCAGTGGCGCGATCTCAGCTCACTGCGACCTCCGCCTCCTGGGTTCAAGCAATTCTCCTGCCTCAGCCTCCTGAGTAACTGGGATTACAGGTGCACACCACCACGCCCAGCTAATTTTTGTATTTTTAGTAGAGACGGGGTTTTGCCATGTTGTCCAGGATGGTCTCAAGCTCCTGACCTTGTGATCTGCCCACCTAGGCCTCCCAAAGTGCTGGGATTACAGGCAAGAGCCACCGCTCCCAGCCTCAGGCACATTCTTAACTTTGGCAAATAAATCCCCTGAAATATTGAGACTTTTATCATCACTTTCTTTGATTGACAGGTACTTGAATAGATTTGTATTGTGTTACAGACAGGAACTAGGAATAGAAGGGATAGTGAGGCAACTAGTCAGTAACGTCTGCTATAAAGCCTGAAGGATGAATATTTCATCCTTATGTGTGAGTTTTTCATTTTTGCTACAGAAGAAATCGTTTGTTCTGCTTTAATTAACACCCTAAAGTAAAGAACATACAACTATCACGTATCACCACATGTTCAGAAGCTTTTCACCAACCCAGGCCCTCAAATGATGTGTTGTTCTTTCTTCCTCAGGAAGATGAATTCTGGATTCTTGCAAGCCTTCCAGAGGGCACTCACCTGCCCCATCTGCATGAACTACTTCATAGACCCAGTCACCATAGACTGTGGGCACAGCTTTTGCAGGCCCTGTTTATACATCAGCTGGCCAAACTTCCCAGTTCTTGCTAAGTGCTCTGAGTGCAAGAAGACAACATGGCAGAGAAACCTCAAAACTGACATTCGTGTGAAGAAGATGGCTTCCCTTCTCAGAAAAGTCAGTCTCCAGCAGTTCCTGAGCGCTGAGGAGCAAATGTGTGGGGCTCACAGGGAGACAAAGAAGATGTTCTGTGAAGTGGACAAGAGCCTGCTCTGTTTGCTGTGCTCCAACTCTCAGGAACACCAAGATCACAGACATTGTCCCATTGAATGGGCTGCTGAGGAATGCCGGGTAAGTATGCCTCTGAAGATCAATTTCTGTAAAGGATACATAATATTCCTGTGAGTATATTTTCTTGGTGATTAGAGGAAGCCATCTCTGAGTCCCTTAAGCATCTCTGTTTTAAAGTTTCCTAGCTCCAGACTTCAGAGTTTTGACAAACATGAAGGGGAAACAAAGGAAACAGTTTTCCCTGGGACTGACTTGTCTTTCATTCTGGGCTCCCTCCCTATGTCAGGGTCGAATATTACTTTGTCGTCTGCACTTGTGCTGCAATTTATGGCTCTTTTGCAGGAGAAGCTCATAAAGAAAATGCAGTCTTTATGGGAAAAAGCTTGTGAAAATTACAGAAACCTGAACATGGAAACCAGCAGAACCAGATGCTGGAAGGTTAGTGCCGTATATACTCTACTCTACTCTCTCCAGGAACTTACGGTGGCCAAATGGGTGACCTTTAAAAAACAGGAACATGATCTCAAACCACAATGTTTCTGGGATTCAATAACAAAGAAAGGAACAATTGAGAAAAAGTGGTCTACTTTCTTACATAGTATGACTCGTAGGTAGAAATCCTAACCAAACCACAGATGTTACCCAAAGCATGCTCATCTATATCTACACAACCTATAGCAATACACCAACAAATACAAGAAACAGGGTTGTCTCACAGCTGCCATCTGTGCTGCTTGAATAAATGCTGGGTAAAAGAGTTATTTGGCATTCATGGAACGTTCACATGAACCTTCTGAGGCTGGGTCAGCATTAATATGAACGGTGGTGGGCAAGTAGTATTTGGAAATGTGTGGAAAACTTCAGGAGAAAAAACAACAGTTAAAATGTAGGGAAACAATGAAATCAAGTGTCTCAAATATTTAATGTTGAATAATACATAACATATGATGGGAAAAGTGGTGAGAAATGTGGATTTGTGTCTCGAGGGAGACATATAAACATTCCAGAAATATGAAAACTAATATCCAAATATAAGGAGAACTCCGAGGACTTAAAGAATTTTAGAAATGATTTTCTCTTTGTAAATGTTTATCTTGAGGATATGATATCTAGCATTTAAAATATTTCTTTCTTTCTTCTATACTACTAAATTTTCTAATTTAATATTTGACATAGACTAGGTACTAGGTACTAGTCTATGTCAAATATTAAATTTTTTAATTTAGTAATAAGAAAGAAAGCATCCTTACCCTGACATATCTTGACAAATGAGAGAGGCAAATGATCAACATGTACATATGTAAAATACATGATCTGTTAGATTGTGGTAGATTCTTTGGAAAATAATTATGGAGAGAAGTAGAAAAGAAAAAACAAATTGAGGGACTGGGAATGAGGATTTGTGTTTTAAATATGGTGGTTAGAAAAAGCCTCACTGAAAACTTTACATTGAAACAAAATCTTGAAGAGGAAGGCAAACAGGAGGTTATACATATAGAAGAATATATATGAAGGACATGATAGTGTGTATGTATGTATATACTGTGTGTATATATATATCTACCCATATATATATAACATATGTGTATGAAAAACAATTCTAGGTAGAGAATACAACATGTGAAATAATATTTCATTTGTGTTTAATTGAGGGTTGATGAAACCAAAAAAGTCTCTGTTGCAGGTTAGGGAGCATTTGCATGAGACTAAAGAAAGTCTTATTGGAATAGTTATGCTGGATGAAATGCATTGAATTGACAATGCTAATCTTAGGTCATTTTATTATTTTCCACATAACGAGTTTATATAACTTGTCCCAAATATCAGAAATATAAACAATAGTTTCCTATCTTGCCAATATAGCTCTAAATGTTAATTCTTAAGCAAGAACTGTGTTTCCTTTCCACAAATGTGTGCTGGAAGAGAATAATGCAATTCATTTTCATTTTAGAAAACATTTTAATCTGTATCAAATGAATGCAATTGGACACATACAACTATGTTAATCCTAATGCAGGGAAAGAGAAAAGGAATAACATTTTGTGAATTCTGAGAATTGGCAGGACTGACAGTTAAAATATTGGATGTTCAGGAAACAAAGAGGAATCAGTGAGATTCAATAGGATATGAAAAAGTAGATTTCTGTTTTGACTAATTTATTGCCACTGCAGGATTATGTGAGTTTAAGAATAGAAGCAATCAGAGCTGAATATCAGAAGATACCGTCATTTCTCCACGAAGAAGAGCAACATCATTTGGAGAGGCTGCAAAAGGACGGCGAGGACATTTCTCAGCAACTCAATGAAAGCAAAGCCAGAATGGAACAAAGGAGGGAGATGTTAAGAGGAATGTATGAGGAGCTAAGGGAAATGTGCCATAAACCAGATGTGGAGCTACTTCAGGTACTGATGGACCAGAAGGTATCAGGATGTTGAACATTCACATGCATAGGTGTTTTTCCTCTCTCTTGAATTCTATCTCCCCCTTAATTTCCATGATTTGTTTCCAAAAACACATTTTTGTAACTAATACCACTTTTTTAGGAGAGTATAAATCCTCCAAGAGAGGATTATTATACCAGACCAAAGGTTCCTGTGCTTTACCACCAACAACAAAACTTTGTGGAATGGTCAAAGCAACAGCCCAAGAAACATTCTCCATCTTAAGTCAATAGTATATTGTGGGTTTTTGAAAATGTATAAAATAAGAAGTGATTCATTGACATTCAGATTAACTTGTAGACATGACATGATAGAGAGATTTGGGAATCTAGTATCACATTGCTATTACTTTTGGGTCCACTCACTTTGGTAATAGGGCCTAGGGAAGATGACTGAGTAGGCTCTTCATGGTTGTGGAAGAACATAGAGACTTTCTGGGCACCTTCTCCCTTCACTTGTATAGAGACTGTCTTCAAGACTCAGACTTTAACGGTACATTAATTTATGACAATATAACAATCTGGGGTTTTTAATAAGAAAAACAATAGAAAATATTTTCCAGAAGGAAAGATGGTAGGAAAATAATATCTTGAAAAAATGCCTCCAAATCTGACATTGAACATAGTGGAAGATACATCTTGTGAAAATAACTAAGTCTTTATATATTTTTTAACAGGCTTTTGGAGACATATTACACAGGTGAGTGTGTACTTGGATTTCAGCAGATGTTATTTTAATTTCCAGAAATACCAAGCAGGATTTACTATACTGAAGGGACAAATGATTCGGGTATTGAAACTTTTTTTTCTGGTTCTGCTCTCCCCTCTGCTACCCTATGCAGCCATCTGTTTTGTTGTCATACTCAGTGATTTTATTAGGCAGGTACAAATAGAGTACTGCAAAAAAGGGAAGGAAGGAAGGGAGGAAGGGAGGGAGGGAGGGAGGGAGGGAGGGGAGGGAAACCTTTCTATCCAATTTCCTTTTTGTTGCTCAAAATCCTGCATAGTTGAAGGAGGAATATTAAGTTTTATAGTTGGCAAGAACGTCAACCAGGGGATGTTGGAGAAAATAGTGAAAAGTATCTTAGCAGTGAAAAGTGTCGACAGTTTCTTGTTTACATATATCGTGAAAATATATATATATATATACACGCACACACACACACACACACACACACACGCATATATGTTTCTAAAAAATAGATTAACTGTCAGAATGTTAGAACTGAGTAGGCTTCTAGGGAAGCTCAGCTATAAAAGACAGAAGACAGATTTTCCTGGCTGGAGCAAGTTTCAACACCTTGACAGTGAGAAGGAAGCAACAGACGCAGCAGTCTTCAAATAACCTGCTTTTTCAGACAGAGTTTTTGGGGGATCCTGACGAGGTTTGGAAATCAGAATTTTATTTTTGAACATTCTCATGGTTTTAAGACTAAGGATACTTACTGATTTGGGGCTATAAGAACAGAGATCAGATTGAATTCTGACTCAGACCTCTCCATTATGATTGGAAATCAGGAACTGTGAATAAGAATAAATTTGAAAAAAAAAGTGATAATTTTTGAATTAGCAAATATGTAGATTAAAAGGATTCTCATGAAATGTATTTTAAATAAAAGTAGTGATTTTTATTTTGTATTTACTTTTTGGCTGTAGATGTTGTAATTGCATCTTTCTCTTGCAGGAGTGAGTCCGTGCTGCTGCACATGCCCCAGCCTGTGAATCCAGAGCTCAGTGCAGAGCCCATCACTGGACTGAGGGTCAGGCTCAACCAATTCCTAGGTGAGTGTCAGCCCATTGGTAGAACTCCCTGTATCTGTTTTTACTTGTTAGCATCACATGGGTGCTATTTTACCCTTCATCAAATGTTGGACTTCTTTTCAGAAGTGCATGAATGATATGACTCTGCAACCCTTTCATATCTCTGTGTTTACAATTCAACTTATAACATGAAGAGTAAAAGATAGTAAAAATTAAATATGTTCTGGAATCATATG